AAATGCAACCGCCAGTCGAATTTATCAACAGCGGGCCCAGCGCCGGCCTCGTTTTCTTGTGCTGACAAGTTTCAGACTGCAAGGCTGGGGCCTGGACCCATTAGGGAAGTATTCTACTACTCGGTTCAGGATTGTGATCACGTGTGGCCTCGAGTGACGTAGTACGGCCGTCGAATACATTGGATCTCGACGGCCGTCGAATACATTGGATCTCGACGGCCTGGTAGTTTCCGAGCGGGGACTGTAAAGATGCCCACCTCTGTCCAATGAGGTGCGTCGAAAAACAACAAAAAACAAATTTGGACATGATAACTCGTGGCTTTTTGTGGGCGGGAAGTCTGGATTTTATGGACTCGAAAGGGGGGGGGGGGGGGGGGGGGGGTTGCAGACTTCGTTTTTTTTTTTTTTTGGCTCTGAGAAATCGAACTTGAAATGTGAAATTCAAATATTGTGGTAATCTGACAAGAACGCCTCCGCGTCTGTCGGATGGCCTGTTAGAGGCATCATGAGATACATGGTGATGAATGTATCCCCATACCCATTACTTGTTCATCCTCGTGGCTGTGTTCGTGGAGACGTTTTATTGCCACAGTACATCACTATGAAGGCTTACATGAAGGAGATCGTACCAACCCATGAATTCGGGTCCACAGCTGTTCTTCTTTGTTTTATATGCCATTTCAATTCATTTTAAATCAGAAAACGATCCATTCATGCAAATAAAAAATCACGTTGTCTTTTCCAAAAAAACATAAAATTGCATCACACATAGTAGAATACTTCGCTAGTGGGTCCAGGCCCCTGGGGCCGTGTACTTGTGGTTGTGGTTTAAGATCCCGCTAGCAGTATGTTTGGGTTGCTGTATGTCAGACACCGTCAGTGGAACAAATACAAGATAACATGGTGGTGGTTGAAACAGGGCTGAAAACTCTATTCATTTTTTTGAAACATGAACTGGAAGAAAAAATTGGAGATAATGCTTCTTGGGGTTTTCTGTTTGATACTCTGACTGTGGTTATGTTAATTGTGGTCACTTTTGTCAGAGGATCCTTTTTTGCCTCGAGATAGGTGCTATTTATCTATTTTAATAAGCTGAAGTGACAAGAGTCACATGAAACCCACGAAGGTGTTCAAAGATTTCGAAATGATTTTGTATTTCTGGGAATAAGCATAACAAATTCATTTTAATGGTTAATGAAAAGATAGATTTTTGGTGTATTTTGACAGGGTAGATTCCGCCGCAAATCAGGGTTGGCGTCTTTTCGTGGACCAAGTGCAGTAAAAAGGACGGTTTTTTGTGCTCTTCTGGTGTTTCCAAAAGGGACATATTTTTCATGTGAAGATTCAGGCCAGTTCACAGGGGAGGCAAGGATGAAAGACATATGAGCAAGGAAAGTGCACCATGGTTTTTACATGTTCCATCCCCACACCTACAGCAAATGCTGCATGGAGTTACTCTTGCCCTCCTTTGCCAAAAGAGAATACCGTGGCCAATTTCAAGGAAGCCTCAGATTAGTGTCCATGAATATGGTCAATTTACCGGCTCAGATGCAGTCGTTTTGACTCCCACCGCCATGGTCAGTCAATCATACCCTGACATCTGACACCCGCCTAGAGCAGACACGATCAGTGGGAAGAATGCTCTCTTTTCTTTTTTAGCATTTTTCTCTCGAGTTTTTCGGTCCTTTTTCTTTTAAATGGTCCATTTCTTTTCCCCCCTGACGGTCCGTTTTATTTTTCCTATTTCACGCTGCCCCCCACCTGTGATGCCATCAACGAAAAATAAGCTGCTCCTCAAAGTTCAGTTCCACTTCAATTCAGGTAACGACTGGTACTTAGGAATTTGGAGCCCCGTACAGGTGAGTTCTGTAGGCAAGTGCCTGTAAGCTAAGCTGGCTGATGCTGTCAGTACCCCGGGTTGAATTGTGAGGTCCAAGGGAACTAAAAAAAAGTTGCGCCTTAACACTGGTAATGCGGATGTATTTGCCTTTCCGGCATTTCCAGAGAGTCATAGTTACCTGGCCCGGCAACGATGACAACATCAACAGTGGCGACAACAATAACAAGAACAACAACAACAACAGTAACAATGACAACAATCGAAAATAACATCACCACCAACGGTGACAAGGGTGTGGGCAGCTAAGATGATGATAATGGTGGCGAGGGCAGCAACAACAACAACAATAACAAAAAGAAGAACAACAATAACGTCAAAGATGACATCAACCGGATGGGAGTAGGATAGACGATCTCCCCTTTATTGATTGGAGTTGACCGGCCCTCAACTTTCAATCACGAAGGGGTTGGGTGTTGATTCCCCCCCTAGAGGAGGTAGGTTATTTAGGGTTTTGAGTCTTGCAGGTTGGGTTGATCGATGAAAATGTTTTTCGTTAGGATTACGCAACATGGCCAGGAGGTCGATCTTTCCCTTGCGCAGGGAAGTAATCAATGCCTCTTTTCGTTAGGATTCCGCAACATGGCCAGGAGGTCAATCTTTCCCTTGTGCAGGGAAGTAATCAATGCCTCTGCTCTTTTCGGAGATATGGTAGATATGGTGGAAAGGGTTTTCCTTCATGCAACATATATTATGTACGAAGACATACAGACTCTATTAGATGCACACTATGACATCTCCACACATCACAGTAGAGGGACGCTGGACCCGTTTTCCATCTTATCCACAACGCATCATTGTCAAGGGACGCTGGACCCGATTTCCAGCAGGTGCAGTTCCCCACCAATAGATGGAGCCTTCACCGCTGGGGCCAGCTTCACGGGGCTGCTCTTATCACCTCGTTAAACCACCGGTACTTGGTCCAGCTATCAGCCGCGGAAAAAAAAAAAAAAAAAGAGTAGAACGTTTCTAGTCGGATGAATTTGGGCGCTCCTGTAGTAGCCCCTAAAATTGTGGCGCGTTAAGGGGCACGACTCTAGGAAGTACTGGTGGTTTAAGTGCCGCACAGGCAAATCAGGTGTTGTGTTGCACATCGCCCTAATCTCCTTCTCGTGGGTAATTAAGTTGCCACCTTTTGTTTTTTCTTTTTTTTTTATTCGTGCCATCCTTGCCCAGGGGCCCAGGGGCCATGCCAATCTTCTCTGTATCGTCCAAATTTTAATGAATGTCCAGAAGGACGTTGCCCGCCTTTTACGACCGGCCCTAGATTCTGAAGAGCGAGGGTAGTAACCAGGCAGGAGAAGTCACCTGGATGATGGTGTCTGCGTGGATCCTGCTGCCCGCAGAGGATCTCACGGATGTCAAAGAGTTGACGAGTCAGACCTAGACCTTGCTGCAACAGTGCTGGGGTGGGCTGAATGCCATGACCTGTATGGCCTCAGCTTTGAACACCAGGTCACAGTTGCAGTGGTAAAGGCATACCTCAGATTTGAACACCGGGTCACCGTTGCAGTGGTAAAAGCATCCGGCTGCTATGGCCGAAGCCAGCCCACTTAGCCTTATGGT